TCTCTGTCCTGGACAGGGTATGGTCTGAAGAGCCACGTGAGAACACACACAGGTGAGAAACCCTACAAGTGTCCAGAAGATTTGTGCAGCAAAGCCTTCAAAACCTCCGGGGACCTGCAGAAACACATCCGCACGCACACGGGTGAGCAGCGCGGGGCAAGAACTGCACAGGGCACAGCCCACTCAGAGCGACTCCAGGTGGCTGCATGGTGGCAGCTCTCACCCTCAGCACTCTGTCCACGCAGGTGAGCGTCCCTTCAAGTGTCCCTTCGTGGGCTGTGGCCGCTCCTTCACCACGTCCAACATCCGCAAGGTTCACATGCGGACGCACACGGGCGAGCGGCCCTACACGTGTGCAGAGCCTGGCTGTGGCAGGGGCTTCACCAGCGCCACCAACTACAAGAACCACATGAGGATCCACACAGGTAGGAGGGGGCCAGCAGCAGGGAGCTTGGTGGGGCTGGAATGGGCATTGTCACAGGAGTGGATCAGGGAGTTGGAGGAAATGGTGGGAATTGCTTCATTGGATTGATTGTTGTTCCAGCTGTTTGCTCTGGTGGAGAATCCCTCCCCAGGGCGTGAGGAGGGTGACGTTCAGCTCTGTGGCCTCTGCCCTAGGAGAGAAGCCATACCTGTGCACCGTGCCGGGCTGCGGGAAGCGCTTCACCGAGTACTCCAGCCTGTACAAGCACCACGTGGTGCACACGCACTGCAAGCCCTACACGTGCAGCAGCTGCGGCAAGACCTACCGACAGACCTCCACGCTGGCCATGCACAAACGCAGCAGCCACGGCGAGCTGGAGGCCACCGAGGAGAGCGAGCAGGCCCTGTTCGAGCAGCAGCAGCTGGAGGGTGAGCGGCCACTCCCCCATCAAGGTGTGGCAAAGGGGAGGGAGGTGACGGCAAGAGCAGACACGCCCCTCCAGAGCCGAGTGTGGCTGCCTGCTTCCCCATCAAAGCTGGATTTATTGGAAGGTCCATGAGGTTGGGAACAGGCCCCTGCCCATTCTGTGGTACAGGGAGAGGTAAAGGTCCTTCTTGCCAGGCCATCATGGTCTTGTGCTCTTCTGTGCTACCCTTGGGACCCAGGCATGGGCTTTCACACTCCGATAATGCTGCTCTTCCCCTTCTCTGATCCAGCTGCTGCAGCTGCTGACAGAGGCTCTCCACTGAAGAGTCAGCATATTGCTTTCCTCTCAGAGATGGAGGAAGATGAAGAAGAAGATGCTGTGCCTACACAAATCTCACTTATCTCTCAGGATGGGACAGAGCAGGTACGGACACAGACACCCTCCAGCATGTCAGGGACAACAGTTATTATCTGAAGTGAGATTCTTCCTCCACTCAGCCAGGATGTTCTTTGCAGGGGCTTTTTCCAGCATTTTTTTCAGACCTTGGAGTTTCTTGGGCTCTTCCTGCCCTGAGGGCTCCCTCCTACATCCTCACCCACTGCTGCAGTGTTGGTGTGGGGTTCTCTGGTCCCAGTGCCCCCCTTGCTGAGGGTTTCTGGGTGTTTGTGTGGTCACTGGCAGCCCTTGGCTCCCCAGCTCTGCTGACCCAGGCTGCATTTGGAGATGTTTTGTCATCACTTGTATACAGCAGTGCTTTTCTTGTACTTCCCTCCACCAGCTGCCCCTGTGCTGACTGGAAAAAATTTCCTTCTGTGGCACGGGGCAAGGGAAGCAGCTGCCAGCAGTGACCTGTTTCCTCTTAGCCTGAGATGCTCGTGCTGCTGCAGTGCACAAAGCCATCCCCATCCAGGCTTCAGACAAAAGGCAGAATGGGAAGATGTGGTGGGATGGGGAGGGCCAAAGACCCAAGCTCTGAGTTCTCTGTTGTCCTGTTGTCAATTTTGTCCCTGTTGCTGGTGCTTGGAGCTCTCAGTTTCCTCCTTGGCCAGCCTGATGCATTGCTAAACTCAGGAGGTGCCAAAGGCTCGCTGAGCTCTGCTGTCATCCCCAGGTCAGTCTGTCTCAGGAGGAGCTGCAGGCCCTGGGCAGTGCCATCGGCGTGGTGGCACAGAGCAGCGTCCTCGCCGTGCCCGAGGGAGGGGACACTGGGACCATGGCTGTGGCCAGCACTGATGGCACCGAGGCACAGGAGGTACAGACAGAGCTGGGGCTGCCCCTGCTGCCTCTGCTAGAAGAGAGCTGCGTTTTCTTTTAAAACAAGATTAATTGAACTTTCCAGGTGACCATAGTCGCTTCTGGGGCGGTGGTGTCAGAGGAGTCGGACATTGCCCCGCTCTGCCATCAGCAGGTGGCATTGCTGGCCACCTCCCACGGCACCCACATTGCTGTGCAGGTACCACGTGGCTTTTCCACTGTCCCCTTCACTCCCTGGCCACCCACTGCCACCTTTGGCCCTGCTGCATTGCTGCTTGCCTGGGGGGCTTGCTCCTTAATTCCCAGGGGCCCTGTGTGCAGAGGACAACAGGGACATCCTGCTGGGACTGCAGAATGCTCCTCTGCAAACAACCCTTCTGCATCTCAGCCCTCTGTCCTTCTGCTTCACCCCCTGTCACCCACCTGTGTCACCCACCTGTGTGACCCCTCTGTCCTGCTGGGAGCCCCCTGAGCTGCATTATGGGGGTTCAGCACTCATTCTCTGTCTCTCCCCCTTCCCTCCCCAGCTGGAAGAGCAGCAGAGCCTGGAGGACGCCCTCAGCATGGCCACAGCAGTCATCCACTACGAGCCAGTGCCCCCTGCCACAGCCGTGCCTGGGAAGGGGAGCTGAGGCCAGCAGAGCAGCCAGGGCAGGGCAGTGCCAGCCCCAGCCCCAGCCTGTGCAGGGGTGGCAGGGACAGTGTCTGAGCAGTGCCAGCGTGCCCTGTGCCAGCTGGGACACTGACAGGGCACAGGGCTGCTGGGGTGACCCTGTCTGAAGGGCTCTTCCCTCTGGGAGGGAGGGCAGGTACTGGGCTGCTCTGGGCTCTCCCTTCAGGGGCACTTCCTGCCCTCTCCCTCCAGGAGTGGTCCAACTGCTCCCCTTCTTGCTCACCCTTCCAGCTCAGTGGGCAGCACATGCACAGAAGCAATAAAGGCCCATCAGAGCAAAGCCAGGCTGTCCTGAGCTTGGTATGGAGGGTGAGCAGTTCCTGCCACTGGAGCCAGCACTGGGATGGTTCCAACAGCAGTTCTCCCATCTCTTTGTCACACTTCCTTTTCAAGCAGGGCTTCCATGGCAGATCCCTTGGCTGTGGAGCAGAGCAGCCAGCACTTGCCAGGAGCTGAGCTAGACCTGGATGTAAATGCTGAGTTGAAATAAAAACAAATTTTGAAATTGTTTTTTAAAAGGACCCCTCTTCTCTTTGGTGGAAGCTGGGAGGAGAGGGTGGATGGTGGGGTTCAGCAGCTGTAAGAATTGAGGAGATTTGTGGAATTGACCAAGCATCTCCTGCCAAAGCAGCAGCTGTCCCAGAGGAGGGCTGGGAGCAGGGTGAGCTGTACCCTCAGCGTGTGGCTTGGAGGGACATGTCCTGAAATCTCTCATCAGGCCTTGGCTTTTCCAGGGCCTCCTGCAAACCCAGATGTAGAGAATTGTGCCTGTGGACACCTCCTGCATCCTCCCCTGGGCTGGGGAGAGAGACCCGGGCTGGTGTCCTGCCCCCTCGGTCCCTTCACTGCCCTGGGTGCTGGGCGGACAGAGCTGGAGAAGCCCTTGGAGATCCTCCTGTAAACCCGAACCTGGCACAGGCTCCCCCCAGCCTCGTGGGTCCTGTTTTGGACATCCCAGAGGAGTCTGCAGAGAACGATGGGCGCGGAACGGGCACAGCCCGAGAGCAGCCACCGGCTGAGCCTCCGCTCTCCGGCTGACACCGATCCCTCCCGAAGGCTGCGAGGGGCANAGCTTTTCCCCCTTCTGCTTTCACCAAACAGCTCAAAAACGCCCCCAAAATCCCACAGGGCCCCTGGAGCCACCCACCCCCAGCTCAGAATGGCTTTGAAAGGCTGAACCCACATCAGCCACCTCGGGGATCAAGGTTTTGAAGCAGTCAAGAAAATTTAGGGTTGTTGGGGTTTTGGATTTGTTTTTTTTTTTTTTCATGTTGGAGTATTTATATCTGCCTTTTGCAGCGGGCCAGGACTTGCCATCTCCAGCAGAAACGATTAAAGTGATGAGCAAGATGTAGTTCATGAAGTTATTTGCACTTGATTAAAAGAAAAAAAATTGTTATTTGAACTTTGTAAAAAGAAATGTTTGCATTTTGTATTGTCTTTTTTTAATTATTAAATGGAATTTCTTGGTGTTGTGTTGATCTTTCAAAAACTGGCTCTGATGCTTATTTTAAAGGTTTCTAACAGCAGGATCCAGAGCTATTTTCATTGTTTTGTTCCCTCAGATGCTGACAAGCTTTTCCAGAGCCCAAAGTATTTTTTCTCCCCCCAGAAGCTTAAATGCTGCACTTCCCTAAGCTCTCCAGTCCCTGCACAATGTATTTATTTATGCACATTAATTTCATTTTTAGCCCAGAAACACGGAGTTAGACAGGCTCAGAGGGAAGAGGGGATGGCAAACATCCTCTACTTCAGCCCAACCCCTTTGGTGGGCTGCAGCTCTGTCCTTCAGCACCCCTGGACTGACAGACAATGCTCAAGTCCTCATGAGCTGCACCTGGGCAGGTGTGGGCAGGTGAGGGGCAATTGCATTTAAACACTTCTGCTGCCCCTGCCAGAGCAGGGCTGGGCTCTGCACAGGATTCAGGGGAGCTTTGCAGCAGGTAAGGGTCCCCTGTGTGGGCACAACTGCTGAACCTGCACCTGCTGGGCCACCTCTGCTCTGGGGGAGCGTGGGATCCTTTCCTTCCCCACCCTCTCTGAATGCAGGGGATGAGGCTCCTTCCCTCAAAAGCTCGAATATCCCACTTGGAATTCATCTCTTTTAACTTATCTCTCAAATGAACATCAAGGCCTCATCTGAGCCCTTCCCCTGGAAGGAGCAAGCAGCTCTTTGGCAAAGCCTGCCCCAGGAGCTCTGCAGGAACACAGGCACACACAGCTGAGGGTGTCTGCAGGGTTTATTACTGCCCCAGCCCTTAGTAGAGGCGCTGGGGTTTCCCCATGGTGCTCTTTATGTACAGAGCTCGCACGTTCTGCCAGTTCTTCTTCAGCAGGGACACCAGGAAGTTGATGGCCAGGTGGATGTTGTAGACCAGCTCGTCCTCTGTCATCTTCACGTGACCCACGGCCACAGCCAGACAGAGCACCTGGGGACAGACACAGGTACAGATTCCACAGGGAAAGCAAAGAGCTGACCCATGGCCTGGACATGCCCACACCAGCTTCACTTTCTGCCCCCAGCTCTCTCTGCACTGTGGCAGAGGCCAAGCTCATCTCTGAGCAGCCTGGAAGTCAATGCTCCCCACAGGCTGGAGGATTTATGAGTGAGCCAAGAGGCCAAGTGTCAGGACATCGTTAGCTCAGCTATTTTAAATGCTCAAGCATTTGCAAACCCTCAGATCTGCTGTGTCCTCAGGATCTCTACAGCTGCTCCCAAGTTCACTTGGACAGAGCCAAGTCCCAAATTCACCCCCAGCAAAGCCCCCACTCATGCTCAGCCCCCCAGGGACACGCCATGAGCAGCACCCACGTGCTGGGAGCAGCTTTAATCACACTGGATCATGCTCAGCACTGAAGCATCCAATCCTCTCCTCATCATCTGCTCCAAGATCCACCAACCACAGTTAAATTATTCCTCCTTCCTGGCTGGCCATGGAATACTCTGGGTACATTTCCCCTTGCTGGAGGAAAGCAGCCACAGCTCCAGAACACTCGAGGGACACCTACAGCCCAAGCCAGAGATGGCAGAGACACTGAACAAGCCCCAGGCACACAGATAAAGCCAGGCTTTACCTTCTTCATCTGGAACTTGATGGTGGATTTGACCTCATCCACCTTGGCCACCAGGTTTTCGTTGTGGGTGAGCAGGGAAGGGAATTTCCCAGCTTTGTTCAGGCCCGGGCCCAGGATTCGAGGGATTTGCTTGATCAAGGACTCGGAGGCCAGGAAGGCGTCGTACTTCTTAGCTGCAAGGAGACAAGCAGGAGCTCAGCATGGACCCTGCTCCCACCCCAAGCTCCAGGAGGGACTCAGCTGAGATCATGCAACTCCTCCATGCAGATAAATCCAATATTCCTGGGTCCCACCAGAACTGGAGCTGGTTTTGCCAAGGATCTGTGACGAATGATTGTCACAGCAGCCAGGCCCCAGCCCCACACACCAATAACCCAAATCCTGCTCCCTGAAGGAACTGTCCCTTGCTGAGCTCCAAGCTTTGCTGCAGCCTGTGCACAGCAGGATGAGTGAGACAGAGGATCCATCTAGGAGAGGCTTAGCCAACAATCACCTAACAGCTCACAGTTCCACGGCCCATTATGGACTGAGGAACAAGTTCCTGCTGCCTGAGCCATGTACAGAGGCACTCTGGAGTTCTCAGGAAGGGAAGGATTTTTACTCTCTGACTAGGGAAAATGAGTGCATTTCATTCTGTGCACACAAGAACCGCAGGACTAAAGCTCACTCTTGCCTCTGGTGTTTCCTGGCTTTTGCTGCCCTCCAGCTCCCCGACCAGGAAAGTGAGGGACATCGCAAGGGATGAAACTGTTGACAGGGATATTTTCTGTGTCCCTCACTTCCCTGGACAACCAACCCCATTCCTGCAGTACTGATCTGTCAGATCTGCACTGGAAAGAGCCTGCTGGCTTAATAGTTTTTGGGCAGATTCTGGGGCTGACTCTGCTCAGAGTTTCAGCTCTGCAACTAACCAAGACATGGAAATCTGGGAAAAGCCTTATGGATACTCACCCAGCTTCTTCACCAGCTTCTTGTTTTTGTTGAGCTTCTTCAAAGCTTCTATGTCCATATGAGGGATGTCAACTGCTTTGGCCTCATCGCAGTGCTGCTGATCCCCCAGCAGACACACGGAGAATTTGGGCCGTGGCGTCGACTTCAACCTGGGGAAGGAAGGTCCGAGTCAGTGACGGGCCAGCCCCAGCGCGTGTGCACGGAGCCAGCACGGAGAGAGCTTACCGCAGCACGGGGCATCCTCACCTGCCGTCCCGGGCA